GGTCTAGTTTGACCGCCTCCCCTTCAATTCTCTCAGCGCAACTGCAACATGGAGATCAGTTTTCACAACAATCATACAATTAGAACTTACTTTTTCGCATGCATTTATATATTTCATATTGCTGGGTATCGTCGTTGAATATATAATAGGTTTCTGAGTCGCTGTGGTAAAAAAGTCCAGTATTCTGAAAAAGTCACAAGATTTCCTTCGATGGTATTGCTACGTGAGGAAAAATCCCCAGTAGCACATATAAGTAGAAAGATAAAAGAAAAGAGCAACACGCATTCTGCTGAGTATGTGGCAATACAACTGCAATAAGCCGCGATGATGGGCGCACGAAAGACAAGTTGCCCTGCCAGACCGTTGAGAAGCGTGTCAAAGGATGAGATTCTACACCGTCCGTCATGATATCTTGTCTCTCCTTCAATTCATATGAACTTGCTTTTCTAATCAACAGACCCATGCATATCGAGAAGTTGTCGGGCATAGTCGCAGGTAACCCTTGCGCGATGAAGCGACAAATTACGATTGTCTTGTCCGTTTTCCCATACTAGTTCCATTCAGAATCGCAGAGGCTTTTGCATCCGTGGCCTAAACGATGACTTGCGGGAGCCAGCTGATGAACAAGTCAGCGTTTTTGTAATCCCAGATCAGCCTGGGGCGATGTAATCAATCCCTGAGAGAATAATGGCGTAAATGGCCAAGATTCGTTTCCTGGGTACCGTGCACATTAAATGGCGGACCGTACCTGCGCTAACAGACGTAGGGAATCGGGTAAAAAACGTAAGAATAAAATGTAAAGGTGAAACATATGTGCGTGTAAATGGATCTCTCAAAAATGTATCCACCTAAGAAGACTTTTAAACAAACCGGATCATAGAAGAATCCACAACTGGGTGAGTAGTACTGTCCATATGCTTCTATCCACTGGAATCCTTCCGGGACACGTGAATGCAACACTTCGTTCGCGGCATCGCGAATCATGTCGGCGATACTCGACGACTAAATATATTAGTTCATTCAAAGAAAGTGGTAAAAAGAGTAAGCTTTATAACTCGTAGCACCCAAGATACCTAAAAT